ATGCTCCCATTGCAATCGTCCTTCCAAGCGAGCGTCGCGGAGCCGTTGCCCCGACCTCCCCGGTCCGTGCGGGCTCAGTCCCCGCGCTTGCACCGAAAGCTGCCATTCGCGGGCGTGGTGCTCTGACTACGGGCCCCCCCCAGATGCATACACACACTGTCAGCCGGTCTAGTCACCAGAACGCTTTCCTGAGTCCTGTGAGCCGCTCTAGCAACTCAACTACCCAAGGGAGGGGTCTTGGGAGCTCTCATCCATAGCAGGTAGGTCGGGAGCACAGGGAACAGCCAACCTGGGCTTGCTGTTGGCATGTGAAGTGGAAGGTTGGGGGGAGGGACAGGCTTGTAGGACTGAGCCCTGAACCTGCGGGCTCCGAGGCCCTCTTCGGGTGAGAGTGTCAGAATTGCGGTTACTGCGCGGTGGTGATGGAAAGCCGCATTGGAGAGGTCCATGCCAGTGCCAGGCCCTCACAGCTTGACATAGGTCATCTAATCTTTACATCAACTCTCTGAAGTAGCTGTATGGCATCCCCGTTTTACAGATGAGAACATTGAGGCTCTGAGAGGTTAACTAAGGTGCCCAAGATTGCACAGCTGGCAAGGGCAGAGTTGGGATTCTAATCCAGTCAGTATGGCCTTCAGCGTCTAGACTCCAAACTGTACCACTGTGTGTGCTGGACTCCTTAAGGGGCCTCTCACAGAATGTGGACTTTATCCTGTGGGCCAGAACCCTTTGAAAGTAGGGAGGGAGGGAGGGCACGGGAGGTCTGGAAGAGAGCTGGCTTTTGCCGGTCTGAGGGTTGCTTCCCGAAGGCGCTGGGACGCCGGTGAATCTTGGAGCATGGGCAGCACTGGCCCAGGAAAGGACAGAACTTTCCAGGCACTGCCAGGAGCTCATTTTAGCTGTAGATTAAGGGGTTGCGGGTGGGGGTTGCGGTGGAGGGGAAGCCAGGTCCTGAGGGACTTTGGGACTGCCTCCTGCGTCCTCAGCACCGAGGTGGCCTCTGCATCTCTAGGGCCAGCCTGGCCAGTGTCTGGGGAAGCATGAAGCTCTGATCGAATGTGAGGCAGCAGTGCCTGAGGCAGGTGATGGGAGCCCTGGCTGGGGCATGGAGGGCTTGGGCAGGAAGTCACACTCTGCCTTATCCCCAGCCTTTGAAAATGGTCCAACTGCCCTGGCTCAGTTGGTTGGAGCATCATCCCACACCCCAAAAGGTGGTGGGTTCAAATCTCAGTCGGGGTACATACCCAGGTTTTGGGTTTGATCCCCAGTTGGGGTGTGTGCGGGAGGCAACCAATCGATGTTTTTCTGTTTCCCTTTTCCTCTCTCTAAAAAAAAAAAAATCAATTAAAAAATAAGAATAAAGACATTCATTGAAAGTGGTCAAAGTGCTTAAGGCAAAACTTTGTGGAGCCATTAAGTTGGGAAAGGATCCAGCCATCTCCGGAGAGTCTTAAAATGTAAAAACAATTGTTTTTTCTTACTGTTCTGAGCCCTTCCCCAGTCATCCATTCTGCTGTTTCCACGCTGTCTGTCCAGAAGATGTAGCGTGTCAGGCCGGCTTATAGTTGAGATTTATGAGGACATTTGCCCTCCAACTACGATCAAGAATTTCACAATAACTGTGTTTCTTTTACTGCCTGTCAGCAAAGACCCTCAGCAGTGCAACGTCCCGGAAACCTGTGCTATCCGTTAGTGCGAGAAAAATTAAGGACAATGCAGCCGATTGGCATAACTTAATCATGAAGTGGGACACCCTCAATGATGCAGGCTTTGCGACTGCAAACAACATTGCCAACATGAAAATCAGTTTACTGTAAGTACTGCCCGAGCTCCACAGCCTTACTGCTTGGGCACACGTTTTCGGGGAGGTTTCTGTGGACATGGATAAATTAAATTCTATTAAGTAAGAAAGTGGTAAGGCAGCATATGCAAGTGTGAACTCTATGTGCACTTGAGTACAAATGACACTGCGTGCTGACCATGGTTGCATCTGCATGAAAGTATTGGAATGGATTGGTAGGACACAGGCGCAGCTCAGGACATTGGTCTCTTCTAGGAAGAATGAGTATTGGGGGTGGGGGTAGGTAAAGGGGACTTTGTCTTCATGAGGTTGCATTTTATCTTGTGCTATTGTGATTTATAAGAAAACCATATTTGGTCTTCCTCCCTATTCCTGATACACAGCTCCGAAAATCCTTATAATTTCCTCGTTGCTAAGAGCAATGGGAGAATGTTTTGTTATAATGTTTGGTATTTTGTCCTCGAATAGTCCCCGTTCCTGAACTAGCTTCAGAGTGATAAGAGTGTCCGCTCATTCGGAACAAGCCCCTTCCCACCACATCTGAATTTATGTAACTTTTGGAAAGCCCCCAAGGAAGGGGGTGGTTGCCAAGGGAACCAACCAGGCCATTAGAGGGTTGCGCTTTCAGCACCACCCCTTTAGCATCACCCCTCCGGGAGGTGAGGGGCTGGAAGTTGAATTAATCACCAGTGGCCAGTGGTCCAGTCCATCCTGCCTGCATCATGAAGCCTCCATAAGGTCCCAAGAGCATTAGAACTTCCGTGTTGTAAACAGGGTTACCTTGATGTGTGGGAAGGGTGTCCCAAACCCCAAGGGACAGGAGCTCCCGTTTCGGGCCCCTCTGGACCTCGCCCCATGTGCCCCTTCACCTGGCTGTTCTTTAATACCCTTTGTCATAAGCCTGGAATCTATTGAGTAACCTGTTTTCCTGAGTCCCGTGAGTTACTCTAGCAAATGACTTGAACTGGAGGACAGGGTTGTGGGATCCCTTGATTTATAGCCTGTCAGTCAGAAGTACAGGTAACAACTTGGACCCCTGGGAGGGTCACTCTTGGGGACTGAGCCCTTCCTCTGTGGGCTCTGTTGCTGTCTCCAGGTTAGATTGTATATATAGATGGTGTCACCAAAAAATGTATATACACACTTTGAACAATTATAACGTCAGCGTTTTTCATTCTCAAATTAAGCTATCAGCTGTTCAGTGTGTATGCACTTTTGGGGACACCCTGTATATATGTTTTCTTAACCTCCTCAAAGTCCTAATTACATACGTTTGCTCTCCAGCTCACCTGTGTCTACAGGCGTGTCTAGGCTTTCCTTGCTGGCCAGGCCGCTGGCGCCACCGGAGGCGCTTGGAGCCTCCACTGTGTTTTCCTGGAAGCCGGCTCAGCCGGTCCCAGTGCCCCACATTCTCCATTCTCTTTCTTTTGGAATTTTCTCCTTCCGAGTTGCTTGTGGCTCTGCTAGGTCAGGGTCCTGCCCCATGGGCCACAGCCTCAGGCTACACAGGCATCCCCAGCTTGTGAACTCATCGTCCTCACCAGCACCCCACCCTCCACTGAGGAGCCACAGGCTGAGTGTAATTGGCTTGTCCTCCTGGAAATTGAGTCACTGACGGATGTATTCATGGCATATGCCAATGAGTGGACACGTTGAACGACATGCAACACCTTTGCCGACCACCTGACATTACATGGATATCGAGTGTGCGCGAGTTTACCCTAATGTTGAGGCGAGCTTAGCTTACGGACTGTGTTTTGTTGCCACTCTTCCATTTCGTCCAGGAGTAAAGACAAGATCGAGTTAGAGAGCAGCAGCCTGGCTTGCGATGAGAATGCAGAGCAGAGGCCGCGGGAATACAGCGCGGAGCTGGAGGCGCTGTGTGAGGAGCTGCGGGCCACCTTAGACGGCTTGGTAAGACCCGAGGCCCCGGGGCATGTCGTGTCGGGGCTGCCTGGCTCTCAGGACACCGAGGGCGGTCTTCCCTGCTCACAAGTTGGATTTTCCCTCCTCGGCCTCCTCTGTTGGTCTCTTCCTCTGCCTGTCCTTTAAGTCTTGACGTCCCAAGTGCTGTCCTAGACCTTGGTTCTCTTGGTCCCATGTGCGTCCGCTGCCAGGCTGCCCCTCGCTGGGCTCCCCGGTAAACATGCCACGGCTGGGGGCCCCCAGCGTCTCTGGTCACCTCTCAGCTCTGGAGGCAAATGGCGGTGGCCGTGCTGCAGCGGCACCTTATTTATGGGCTCAGGAGTTTCAATTTTATGTAATTCTCATACCTCACATGTATCCCTCTCGATTTGTTTTCAACCATCTAAAAGGCCCATTCTTGCCCTAACCGGTTTGGCTCAGTGGATAGAGCGTCAGCTTGCGGACTGAAAGGTCCCAGGTTTGATTCCGGTCAAGGGCATGTGCCTTGGTTGTGGGCACATCCCCAGTAGGAGGTGTGCAGGAGGCAGCTGATCGATGTTTCTCTCTCATTGATGTTTCTAACTCTTATCCCTCTCTCTTCCTCTCTGTAAAAAATCAATAAAATATATTTAAAAACAGAAAAAAACGAGAATGGATATCAGAAATAATAATTTTACAATATTTTATTTCTCTTTGTATATCTTTGGTG